GGAAAGAACACGCCACTAAGGCTGGAGCATCTACGGACAGCTCAAGGGATTTGAAGAGAAGCGTAGCACAGTTACTGGAACTTCATTAATATCAGGTAACATGTTTAACCTTAAGAGTAACAAATATTCTATGAACGGAATTGCCTCTTTTAATGTTAAAAGAGGTAATTCGTAGAGTCATAGTTACTTGGACTAGCTAAACCTACACATAAATTGGAAGAAAATCCTAGAAAACTGGAGTTTCATCACACACCAACAAAGAGTTACCATTTAGGACAACTGCAAGTCAAGGTGCATTGCACCATTACCATCTTGTCATTCAAAGACCTGAAGCAGAAGAGCTCAATTTCCAAATATTAACATGTATACTTTGGTTCAGTTTTTACAAACACAATAGAGGGTCTCTCTCCTAAATCCCAGTCAAAAGAAACACCAAAAATGGCCAAATGGACAATTTACAGTGTTGCAAACCCATGCCAACCTGAGAAGAGCTTATCAATTGACCTAAGTTTCATTGTCTAAAACTTTACAGGAGTCATCAGATTAATTTGGGCAACCTTTCAGAAGCAGATCCAGGAATTTTTTTCCAGAGGGAAGGGTCAGGCGAGATTTTTATTTTAATGTCTCATTTTTGCACACAAGCGGAAACCACTTGACATGCATTGTTGACAATGGTATGGGTAGCTGTATACTTACCTTTGTACATGATATCGGGGGGGCCTACTTTCCCCTTTTTTAATCTTTTCTCTTTGTTTTTGTGTGTGTGTGTTTCAGTGTGAGGGGGACCCCCTCTTCAAGATCTGGCCGGCCCTTACTTTTAAGACATTCCACTAACTTCTAACATGTCTTCATAAAGCCACAAGAATGAAAGTTTAAGATCTGCATCCACCATCCGCATGTTCCAAAACACCCTGCCAAAAAAAAATTATTTACAAAAAAAATCACTAGTTTTCACAAAAAGGCTTTTCAAAAAACATTTCGAATCCCAAATCATCAAGCAGCAGTAAAATTAAAAGGGGATAAAATGCACATTACTAGGTACCTACGTATATACCTATCTACACAAATGATTAAATTCTCTGACAGGCCTAAATGTACACGCACTCACTATACATACCATCTTGCTAAAAATAAATAATGAATAATGAAAAAAAGTCTCATGCTTTCCAAGATGTTCCGGATGCAAATCTAAAACTTAAATTCTCATGGCCTAAGCTTCAACCATCGCAAAATAAATTGGTAGCCCTTTGTATACATATCAAACATTCGTTTAGCACCATTAATTCCCCAGTAACCTATGTAGGCCCAGCAAGAAGACGGCTTCCCTGTTTAAGGGCAATTTTGGACTGATACACAACTTGTACTTTTAGTTGTGCATATACAAAGTTGAAAAATTGCGATTGGTTCAAATAGAGTCAGAAAGCCATCTTGCACGTCAGGAACGATGGAAACATGAAAAGGTTCTGTTGGCCTGCAAGGTCATCACTTCCAAGTTACATTACATCATGTATAAGCCTTATTGCAATGGGTGATTTTGCAAATGGTAGAAAGGCATTGTGGGAAGGATAAAGGAGCAAACATTGCCCCTTTTTCCTTCCCACAATGCTTTTCTACCATTGTGCAAAATCACCCATGCAGTATTTGCGATAAAGCAAACTCAGAAAGCAATAACGTCCTAAAAAGCAGGTGACATAATTATTTGAAAGTAAGGGGAAGAGTTCCATATACTGACGCCATATTACCAACATGCATGTACACTCTACATGTACATACAGTACAGTGGCCATGGTAGCATTTGCCGTCAGAAAGCAAAACATGTCCAAAAACATTCAAATTAGGAGGGAAAAACCTAAGTCGTTTACTTAGAAAACAGAATTTTTCAGACCAGTCCCACAGAGTTTGTGCACAGGCCGTCAAGACGCATCTGTATATAGAACTCTTTCCAAGGTAAGGATTGCCAACCATTCGGTCACTCGCACATCAACATGCTCGTACACCTATTTGTCGCAACATGATATTTCTTACACGACTTCCAACTTTGCAACTTTGATTACACTCTGCGTGCCACAAATTTATACAAATACAGACTGCAGAGCGCCCTCTCATGATTCACACAAGTAGACTCCAAGAACACGTACACCCGGTACGGATGGAAAAGGGTGAGCCGGGGGGGGGGGTTGAAGAGGAAACTTACAACCTTAAACCTTTTGAGGAAGGGTGATGAGCCATGTGATCATCTTTAACTCGTCCCTTCTGGTTGTGGGGAGGGGGAAGCAGAGTTGGAGGTCTTTTTCCAAATAGCCAAGTTGCTACCACATATTTAAAGATGGACTTGACAACACCTGTGCAATACAAAACTGTCCAAGGTTTTTTATTCCAATTCATACTCATTTGTACTTTCCCTCACAATTAAACAAGGATTTAATGCTTCTCTAAGGTCCAATTTTACCAATCATCTTGTCAAGGAAATATTTCTCACACCAAAAGTGCTAAGAATTTTCAGAACCACTTCCTTACAAATATATTTCATAATAATACTTCTAATTAAATTTTCAAAAGTTTTCATAATGTGATTACTGCAATTCTGGAAACCACCAGGCCATAAAAAAACTAATTCAGACTTGAACTTCCCTTCATCAGAAATCCAAATTTTACCAGGCCAAATGAAGCAGAATAATCAATTCAAAGATTACAGAAAGGTAGTTAGATATCCAAGCCTTGGAGTTGGGTGACTTAAGGAATAGCAGGCACTAGCACAGGAACATATTTACTTTCAGTTCTGGCTTTATGGCCCTGAGAAACTACATTAGTCATTCTAATATGTACATCTGTCTTCCTCCTACGTCGATAAGATGACCTCTGTCTGTCCGTCTGTCTGTAACTCTGTTCTGGGTGTTGATGTTTCTTTTTAATATGATATGTCATTGAATCTTTCTTTACAAAACGTCTTTGGCAATGAGGACACTCAAAGGGTTTGACTCCAGGATGGTCATGATGCCTAAAGATGTGTGCTTTTAGAGATGCATTAACTGTGTAAGACTTATTGCACTGAATGCATTGATATCGCTTCTCACCGGTGTGAACCACTTGATGGCGGATCAAGTCACTAGAATGTTTGAAAGTATCACCGCAGATGTGACAAGGATAGGGCCGTACTTGGTCATGCATGCGGCCATGTTTCAGAAGAGCTGATGTAGATTTGAAAGTCTTGTGACAATCTGAACACTCATAAGGCCTCTCATTTGTATGAATCCGTTGATGGTTTCTGTATGTAGTCACATTTTTCAATGCCATTCCACAGATTTTACAGAGTAATGGATTTGCTGGAGGCTTATCACGTGGAGGTGGAGCATGTTCTGGATGCATAATAGATATGTGTTGTGTTAACGTCCATGGGCTGGGATAGATCAGATCACAATATTCACACTGTTCGTTTGTCTCTTCACCACGGTGTTTCTTCAGGTGATGAACATAATAACATTCTCGAGTGAACTTGGCTCCACACTCTTCGCAAACAAATTCCTGATTTGTTCCCCGATTAGGTTTTCTTCCTTTTCTTGACAACTTAAAAGGTTTGTGTAATTGTTGTTTTCTTGTCCTGTTTGGCCATTTGCTTCTTTGACTGTTGTCAGTCTCAAATTCTTTCCCTGATATCCATCCAACATCGCTGTCAGAGTCCGCTTCAACATTGGAGTCAGACTGATTGTTATCACACTCTGATGGCATATCTTCTTGGGGAGCATCTTGGTGAAATGAAACCAATTCATGATTACCATTTTGGTCATGGGATCTCACATCATCTCCATTGCTCCTATGACAGCATAATTCAACCTGAACTCCAACTGAGATTGTTACTGTTGGCTGGTTTGAGCCGAGACTTACAGCTTGATTGGAATTACTACTGCTGAGCAACGGCAGCTCCAACAATGTAGACAAACTGTTTTGAGATCTGAACAGAAACACGGGTGAATTCAAAAACATATCACAATACAATATCATTATGTAATTTTAAGAATAAATAGCATTCAGGTGTGAGATTGGAGATGAAGAGAAATTCACTAAATATTCAGCAGAGGGGGCCTTTGGGTCCTTTTTAAAGCTAACAATATAAAAAAGGAGAAACTTATCTTTAAAAAAAATGGGTGAATTTTGCAAGTAGAACCATGACTCTGTGTGTATAACAGAGAAAGCTTAAAAATTGAGCACCTTTGTTGCTTCTCCAAGGCTATAAGATGTTTGAAGAAGGCACTCAGTGATTTAAATCCACTGGATTCATGCAAGGCAATGATCTCACTGGCTAAATCAGGATGCAAGATCATACTTCCACTGGCTATTTCCATGGTGACTAACTCTGACACCAACAAATAAGTAGTACGTACATCAAGTTGTCAACCAACAAGTGGTCGTGACTGTTCACTGTTTAAAAAGGAAAAAATAACAAGCTTGAACTCCACCACGAAAGATCTGAGGGCTTCACAACTAGGTCCAGAACACTGAAGTTGATTGCATCCTCCAAACTTTGGTAAAGGGCCTGTTTATTTTATGTGGATCTGGATCGCAATCGATGGATCTGACATTGGTTCAACGACATCAGAACCCAGCTAATAGATGGTGCAAACCAGTTTGGGAATCATTGCTCTCTCTACAGATCCATGGTGCAGTGTGCCAGTAAAATGTATATCTGCCATGTTATAACTGCTACCAACAGGTGTAAGCAGAATCTAGGCTTTGTGTTGTGGGCGAAAAGAGGACTTTGCATACCAAACATAGTTTGCTAAGTGTGAGCTGCAAAAAAATGGAGATAGACAGATTTTTTTTTATTCACTTTTTGAAATATTTCAATAATAATGGAGGACTATGATTCAGTGTGTACATGTGTGTATTTTGGCAGTTTTACAACAAGCATTGAACCTCTCATAATCACATACACCATGTACATGATCACGTGACCTAAGCTGTTAATGACATCAATGCATGTGGCTCACAACATGGTTAAGATTTGACCTTGTCATAAGGCCTCACTTTGGAAATGAAATATCCAAAACACTCACTGCCCATGTCTAGTTGCTGTGCAAGTGCAGTGTATAATGGTAAACGCATTAATCTTGTGAATGCTACATGGGTCATGGCCACAACATACAGGATGTGGCACACTTATCAATGAAAATATGCCCCAACACCAACATATGAACTAAGCCAGTCAAACTACATGTATCTATGCTTTCACTGTGTGTTTGTTGAGCTTGATTGGTCGTTGCACAATCCGTAGATCTTACTGCTCAATTTGTTGATAATCGCCTTTTTCTTTCTTATGCAGAGACATCACAGTTGTGCAAGACTTTTAAAAAGGGCAGTAAAATTGGAGATATCATGCAGAGATGTTGGAAAACTCAACCACTTACAAACTTGACTCAGGACAACTCAGCCATTGAGACAACTCCACCATTGAAACAACTTGACTACTTACCAAGTCGTCCAATGAGACAACTCAACCAACATGACCAAGGCATGAACATGATAAAGTGCTGGGCATTTAACATAAATTGCACATCGATGTGTTTGGGAAATTCTGCATGTGTCGCATTATGTTGCAACTTGTCTTGCCGAACTTGACGTGCACAAGGACCCAACGATGCAGCATGCACATGATAGGTGGGTGGCGTGTTAGTGACCCTAACTAGTGCAGTGTGACAGCATGCACAGTGGTCAGGTAACAAGGGCCACAGTCATACCGTCAGTAAATCTTTCCCCTAACCCTTTGGGTGTAGGCGATGTGCCTATACAGCACACCCATTATCACTATTATGAGTCAAATTATCTCAATCAATCACAGTCAATGATGGTGGTTATCTATCTATCATCATGTCCATTTGAGACACAGACAGCTGAGTCATCCCATGGTCAAGTTGTCTCGAGTAGATCGATTGTGCAGATCTGCCAACACATGGTTAATCTTGCTCAACTGAACGGTACCAATAACATGTTCAGCCAATACCCCCCAAACTGTGGCACTTTTCTAAACTATGGCAAAACAGCCCAACTGGATAAAAGGCATACTGTGAAACAAATCTACCCTAGCCCCCCAAATAGGGCTGTGGTGGCTCTCTTTTACGATCTGTCTCTTATCTGTCGCCACCACAGCTCTACTTCAAGGTATGTCTTAAATGTTTGAATCCTAATATCTTCCGAAGTGAGACTGACTCGACAATTTTACTTACACTGGCGTAATCCACAGAGTTTGGACTTCCATACGAGCACCCTAAAGCGTTCCAAAATCGTAAATTTTCCGGTGTATGGCACCTTGAAAAACCCGGCCTGTGCATGCTGACCACGGGCGGTGCCATTTCGAAAGATGAAGGCAGCGTTTCGTGCGTCCAAAGTCAAGGTAGAAAAAAAAAAATTTTTGTACAATAACATTGGTTAAATTCTACAAAATAAACAAAAGCCTGGGATATGTTCGATACAGGAAGAAGTTCATTAAGGGGTAGATTTGATTCAGAAAGCACAGAGTTTTTCTCATCTACAACTACCTGACCCTGGCAAAGCACTTTTCAAAACCCCATAGCGTTACGACACCATGTAAACCAACATGACCATTTGCGCTTCACGGAGTACTGGCCAAGGCACACTACGCCTAGTGACTTTTGAGTTCTTGAAGTACGACCAATCCCGTCCAAAATCGAAACCGCTCCACTCAATGGTTTTTAGAAAGCGAAAAGGTCAGGGTTCATGTCCGTGTGCAAAAGAAATTGCGCCCACGATGATAAGTGTGTGCGCCGAAATGTTCAATACGCCGACACGAAATAGCGTTTACGGAAGTGTGGCTAAGGATGGATCGGGAGTGAGAGTCCGTACCACACTTGTGCCTTTCGGGGCTACACTCAATACAGCTAAACCATACAGTAGAGTATTTTCCAAAGTGAGTTTTGCGGGTAAAAATTGACTCACCCTGCTTTCAATCAGGTACATACATATACACGAACACACATGTTTCGATTCTATGTAGGCCCAACGTAGTAAATTACATGCAAACTAAACAATCTTTGATGTCAACTATCATCATTTTGTAGGTGGTGCATGACAAGCATGACGCGATGAAGCTGCTGAGTGGAGGGTGAAATATCTAAACGTGACGAAGCGCCCTCTCGTATGTACGTCTTGTACATGTACCTGTACATGAACGTGGTGCCGGTGTGAATCATACGGAAGCGTATATAGGACATGACTGAAAAAATAATTTTTGCCTTCTATTTCGCCCTGGCGGATTACTATTTCGCCCGGGCGGATTAGTATCCCAGGAGACTGGGTGTATATAATCGCTCGCTTTTGCAGGGGATGGATCATCCCTCACGTTTTCGTATAAAGAAAAAAAAAAGGATTTCTGAATACTTTTTTCATTCAAAATCAATTCAATTGCAAAGTTTCTCATGAAGTGTGCCCAGAGTTTGCTTTTTTTGGGGGGGGGGAGCCACAGAGTTGGGGTTGAGGGAAAGGGCAAAATGTTTTTTTCTACAATCTACGGTCCATTTTTCTTTGGTCTGTCCCCCGCCCCAAAAATAAGGCCGGGGCGGTTTCCGCCCACTCCAGTTTTCTCTCTAACCTCACATTGCATTTTTTCACGCTTTGGGTCTTCCAGACTTTTTTGAGTAACTGATTACATTCATTTTTCACCTATATTTTGTGAATCTGTTGTTCTCGCGTAGTGCTCATTTTTCCGAAGCAGCCAAAAGCCTACACTTTTTTCCACGTGCACACGTTGCTAGGACACGCTGGCAAGCGCGTGGCCCCAAACTTCAAATGGTCATTGCAACATCTTCAATTGAACTGATAATGTACAGATCTATTGATTATTTGTATTGAGTATGATTGTCTTTTCATGCATGCAGAGTTTCATTAAACTCGTGTATGGCACTTCATGAGTCACTTTGCATCTTCGACACAATGGCGCGCAAAAATGTCGGAACAGTCTATCTAAGTACCCCCCCCCGGAAATCATCCCGCATTCTGACACACAAATCTACGCCACTCCCCAGGTGGTTCACTATTTCGCCCGGGCGAAATAAGTAA